CGATTTCGAGCCGACCGCTTAACCCAACAGTCGGTGTAATCCCGCTGTTGCAACACTTTTAGTGGGTGTTCCGTCGTCGAATCTGCTCGACGACGTGCGAAGAGCATACGCAGGAGATGAGTGTCTTCTACGGTTGATGGATAACGTATCCAATCCGTGCAGTCAAGCTTTGAAAAGCTTGTCGCACCGCTCTTCAACCAAACGGTATTCTGTCCGCGATGGACTTCTGTACTATGCAGCAGTCAACGGCGACACACTTCGTGTCGTCGTTCCGGCTCATATTTATTAGCGATTGCACATCATGTATGAGTGTCACGATGCCCCAACAAGTGGACATCACGGTAGAGAAAAGACTTAGCTCGCGGTGAGTCGTGACTTCTACTGGCCCCGCCAGTATGAGTTCGTGCGGAAATACATTCGCGCTTGCGAAGTTTGTCAACGGCTTAAGCCTAGTTGCTAGATCCCGCGACCCTTACAGCCTCTTCTGATTCCGGCAGAGTGTTGGCAGTCCGTATCGATGGACTTTGTCTTCGAGTTTCCCAAAGACGTTAAAAAGGATACGGGTATTCTTGTGTTTGTTGATCGGTTTAGCAAGATTACATCTTGTTGCTGTACCGGAGTCAATTACAGCTCAGGGCTGTGCGCGCGTCTTCATCGATACTATCTTCCGACTTCACGGGTTACCCCGTGAACTCGTGTCCGATAGGGACCCCCGCTTCACAGCGTAGTTCTGGCAATCCGTGTTCCATTCACTGGGAACACATTTGACAATGTCAACTTCTGACCATCCCGAAACAGATGGTCAAACAGAACGCGTCAACGGCGTTCTCGAAGAACTACTTCGAGGGTATGTCCACTCGTTTACGAGCTGGAGTGAGTTCTTGCCGATGGCGGAATTCGCCATCAGCAACTCGGTGCACGCGTCGAAACCATACACCGTTCTTCTTGAATGGCCTACGCCATCCACGCTTACCCGCATTCTTTGAGTGTGACTTTAGTTTAAGGGGGGAGTGGACTCGCTCGAACAAAAGCGAATCTGGTTCTTGCTCATCACCCGTCGACAATGGTGTCGACGTGATGGATGCCGATGGCGGAGGGATCGATGTCGATGATGACGATGACACTGATGCTGGCATGTTCAGCATCGCCAATGACCCCCAAAGTGAGGACGATGATATCCTCACTAGACAACGTTCTTTCAGCAGTGCACACGAAGCGCACTGCTGTTGACAAGGATGAATCAGCTGAGGAATTTCTGCTGACTTGCGAAGCGGTTGTCCGCTTCGTTCGAGACTTTATTGCAGATGCATTAGACAGACAAAAGAGAAACGCAGACAAACATGATAGAGCAAATGTTCTTTCAGTTGATATAGGAGACCTAGTTTTACTGTCTACAGTAAACTTATCGAAACACGCGGTGACACACGTGGGCAGAAGTAAATTACTGCCCAGGTACATCGGTCCATTTCGTGTGTTACGCCGAATGGGCAATGCATACACGATTGAACTGCCCCGTAAGATGCGCACGCATCCTACGTTTTACGTTGGTCGTCTCCGCCCGTACTATCAGTACGAGCCCGTTTCTAGATGCGAAGAATACCTCCACGGTCGAGAGCCGAGACCACCCTGAAGTGGTCCCGTTTCAACGAGCCAGTCTGGTCGACTAGCGAAGCGACCTGTTCACGCAGTTGAGCAATTTCCTGACGAGCTACAGCCAGCTCATCCCGAAGAAAACAAGCCGAATGTTCGTTATCAAGTTGCGCGAACGCAAAAGCGGCACGATCGTCCGAACGATCGTGCATTAGGGAATTGTAATCATCCCTTACAAGATCATCAAGCCCATAACGCCGAGATCGTTCATGAGCCAGGTCATCTTGCAACGGTTCCATTACACGGTTCAGCTCTTGAAGATCAACTTGATCCGACCCTCGAGCCGAATCAGGTGTTCCCACCGGCACCACTTCCTTTGGTGGACTCAAGCGGTGGTCAACGCTTCCTAGTATAGCGTATTTTGAACCACCGCGATGTGAATGGCGTCTGGACGAGTTATCTCGTCCGCTGGCGTGGCTATCCACCGGCGTGGGACAGCTGGGAGCCTCGTGCCCAGATGATTGGTGATGTCCTTGGTCTCGTTGAGAAGTACGACAAGACCCACCCGCTGCGTTTGAAGAATGGCCGTCGGAAAACGACCTCCTCAAACGCGAGTACAGGGATTGCAAAGTGTCGATCCCTTCGGCCATCTCGGAAGAGATGCGCGCCCTCCAGTAGGGATCATTAGGGAGGTAGGCCTCCCTAGGGGCACGATTCTAGTTTCCCAGGCAACTTGGACACGTGTCACACCGCGAGAGACAGGGTAATCCTGACTCTCTTGAAAGCCGGTGCAACTTGTATCGCGCCCCGACTGGGTTGCGTTTCTCAAACCTGATGCGAGCTGCATCAAGTTTATCGAGCCTGGCCTCACGGCCAATACACTCGATGTTGTGGATAAGGGCATTCCATCCCTGCACCAAGGCTTTTGTACCACCGACGTTTGAAGAACGCATCGGTGAAGAATTCTTCCTCAGCACGGATAGTTTCCGTGCTGGTTTTAGGCGGGAAAATCTTCCTACAATCGAACAACGAGGTCGATCCCGTTCGGTCGTCATGCCGACCACTCGATCTAACTGCTTGGTCGGCGGCATCCACGGAGACTCCACCTGAGGAGCGTGGCGCAGTAAATTTCGGTACCTGGCCTCTTGATCGGTGCCAGCATGAGCACTGGCACTAGTGTCACCCCGATACCTTGAGTTGCTTCGCTCGTGGTGATGCATAGGTGCATCGCCACTATCTCCACGCGTCCTATCGTTGGATAGACTTGCGTGAGGCGGAGACTCATCGGAGTAATCACTCGATCCGAAGATCTCGGTCATGATGCTGCCGCGCTGACCAAAGCCATCCAGCCTGGCTTTTGGAGCGTTCGCCCCGGGTGATCCCGAGGCGTGAGGAGTCGCCTTCGAGTCGGATGCATTATCCGACTCGCCAGAATAGATGAGCTCTATCTCACCTCGTCTGGATTACGATTCGAGGTACCCGCTGCAGACGCAACGGATGTACCTGTCCCACGTGGTGACTCACCACGTGGAGGATTCACGACAACAGACGACGTATCGCCTGCTGCTGAGGCGTGAGAGGCACTTCACCGCGGCCGCACGCATGCGTGCAGCTGCTTTTTCTTGCTGCTGCAGTAGCAGCTCGAGTGGTTTTCGAAACCATGCGTTCGATTGGCAAATGAATGGAATTTGAAAACTAGGTGCTCCCTTTCCCACAGTGATTCAACGGTGGTCACCCTGTCCCAATCAATTTCAATTCAATCAGCGGGTGATTGATGGTTAAGGGGGGGTGATGTAACGGGGTAGCCCGTTACATGAAATTGACACCAAACGGTATCAATTGGAATATAGTCTAGTATGACAATATTCTACCGATGTTATCCGAGATGGATATTTGAAAGGAACATTATCCCCTTTTGGATATTATTCATTCGCTGCTCCAAGATTGGTTAATATAAAACCTATCAACCATGGATTACCACCAATTGCTGCTAGCGCGCGCAATGAGTGGTGAGCAGGTTGTCGTCATACGACAGCGTAGTTTAACATGGTTAGATAAAGATTAAAGTTACATTGATGGCTTAACTATATTAAACAATATTCTCTTTTGACCTTACTTGATCGAGCCGATCTAGTAGATAGCTTCCTCTGCACGTACTAGTGTACGTGAAGTTTTGCGGCACCTTAAACAAAGGGTGCCCCGTTACAAGGGCTTTCGAGACCTCCAACGTGAAGTTAAGTCCGGGAGAATGTTTTGTCGCCGAGTCGTGCAAAACGACTGAGCTGTATATAGGCTAAACAGCCCATGACGTCATCAGGAACATTCTAGAAGGACATAAAACGATAGGCTTAGCACAGGGTAGCGAACTAAAGACCTATGTTAATTCAGTTTTACTTTACTAAGTGAACGACGAGTCTTCACACTGTTGAAAGACTTGAACAAACTTGAAGGAACGACCATGCAAACAACTACTTTGCAGGCAAAAAGGTTGAAGTTGGTTGTACTCAAATGCCCTATTGTCATCAGATTCTCTCGAGAGATCGAGGCTGCATTACATCTGACCTATGATAGGTACTGGTACAGTCAGGATATGTCCAATTACTTCATTGATAGATCTCTTACGAGGATTCTCGTCGTTGTTGCATAGCAGCTACACATGCAAATACTACTCTTTGTCATAGCGCGTGAAATGCATGTGAAGTTGCATTGTAGATCCGCTCGCAAAGTAGTAAATTCGTCCGCAATCTGGTAACGATGATGCCTAGAAGCTTTTGATGGACTGAGTTATCATGACCCGATCAAATGATCCCAAACATCGTGTACCCTACCGTTGCGGTATAAACGTTACGTACACCCTGTCACAACAAGAAAGTTTGAAAAGGTTGGGAGATAATTGAAAAGATTTTCAAAGTGTAAAACGTACTGGTATGATGATGCTACTTTGTGGACTGAGTAACATGACCCATCAAATGATCCCAAACTATCGTGTTCTCTGCCGTTGTGGTATCAACGTTTTTGTAACACCCTGTCCCAAAAGCAAGAAAGCTCCGACTCCAGTACTAACGTTGGTGAAACTCTACGTAATCTTTCGGACACAACCCGATTTGCTCGGTGAAAGCAACAGTCACCGGATCACTTTCTCTCCTGCACTACATACGTCCAAAGCATGGTGTCGAGTCACGATACAGAAGTGGATGGAATCACTGCATTCTCGACATCGCCTGCGACGTCTTATCGCTACATCCTCCGACTCAAAGACGACAAATTGAGTATTTGGATGGAAGATCGAACCAGCAAAAAGCAATGGTATGTAATGAGTGCGAGGTCATCTTCGTCATCGTGACTTTTGATTGTTGTGGTGTTACTAGGAGCAAGAGCGGGGTGACCAAAGAAGATTACGTGACATCGGCCAATGCAATTTCAGATGCATCGGCAAACGATTACTTGAAGGTGTGCTTTTGTTGTGTTTGGTATCATGGCAGGTGTCGTGTATCTCATCTTATGAATTGTAGCTGTTCCAAAACGCACTTGATGGTGAACCGGATGAATCGAGCGATGCCCAGTGCACGTTGGAAGTGCTGAGTGGGGATGCTTGTCAACTGGTGGTTAGCGTCAAGTTTCGCATCCTACGCTCAGTGAGAGTGGTGAAGTATACGTTTGTCCTGGAGCCTGTATCAGTGGAGCGAATCGATGTGTTGGAATCCAAAATGCGCGACCAGCAGGAGGAATTGAAGCGACTGCAGAAACAATCTATTACGCATGTGCACCTTGAAGCTTCAACAAACAATGGCACAACTGATAAGCTGCAGTGGAGCGATCCCGATTCGGACAACTTCACGTTGGATCATGGAACTGGCGAGATCTCGATTCGTCAACCTGGAGCTTACAGCATTACAGTAGTTGTGACTGGCTCAAATCAGGGCATCTCTATTCTGAAGAACGAAGAGTGCATCTATTCGGGCTCGAATTCTGACTACCATAATTCCTTGACTGCTAGCACCATCGCCCGCCTTCATGCGAATGACAGGTTGGCTGTTACGGACAGTTACCCTGTGACTGACACTTCTCACCTTTTAATCGAGCAAATTGGGCGCTGAACTACGCTTAGTTAAACAAAGAAACACTGCCACTCTGCTCGATTGCAGCACTTGACTACCAGGACATGATCCATTGATTGCACATATTGTCAAGATCGGGCCAACTAGGTAGCATGCACAAGCACACGCCCTTATCGATTTGACATTACAGTCGAACGCATTAACACGAAAACAGGTGTCATCGCCTTCGTCGTGTTGGTAGTCCTTTCGATAATTATCTCTGCGCTGGGAACGTCAGCGTAGATGCCACTTGCATGTAGGCCACTTGTATGCAAGGCCACTTGCATGTACGACTAGTTGCATGCAAGTCGCATACATGCAAGTGGCATCTGGCTACTTATCACAACTTACGGCACATAAGCCGGGGAGTTGCATGAACATCGCAACACCAGGCTAAAGGTGAAACAACATGAGGTTGGTTTTAACTAATCTCGTGTTGACACACCTTTAATTCACGTGCATTTGCTCGTGACATCGCTACTGCACCAAGGTAAAGCAGATATCCAAAGGTGCGTCAAGTGTTTAGTTGCTTGCAGCCATAAAGACTTGGTCAAACTATCCGTTCACACCATCGCACGAACGGCCGCGACTTCTTCCTTGACTACGATCAATCCTCCACTGCACCCGTTTTTCTTTACGCTGTCAATGCAACCACTCCAAACGCAGCTAAGCCCATGTTAGTCTATTGCTTTTGATGTCAGAGTTACATACAGCTCAAGTCTCTGGCATCACCATACTAACAAGGCCCTTGCTTGTTCGTCCTTACGAACGCTTCGTGTTCGTTCACCAATGGTCATGCATCCGGCCACCCTCGTGTAATGTAAATAAATCTTGTTCTGAAGATGCACCTCGACAGATTTGCTGTCGCTACCAACCATTAAGTTAATTTGTCAATGTCGAGTCGAACCCTGCAAACCCCTTTTCCAGCAACATTTGTAATATTTTACGGCGACACTTGCCGAGCATACGGAGCACATTCTTGCGGATCTGGCACTGCACAAAGATCGACTTGCCCAGACTACGAATGCGCTCGCGAGTCGAATGCACTCACGCGTCTTCTTGCCGCGATGTGGCGCTTGACGGCCAGCGCACGCTTTCGATAGCCGCTTTTGTCTTGCTTTGTAGATAAGGGAATCGACAAACCGCAAGTGAAGGAAAAAATAAATGTACCGGATGGCCGCACGGACAAAACAAACGATCATAATAGCGCGGATAACGCGGCAGCGAAGCGCAGGAATGTAAATGCAGCAACGGAGCAGATGCACTATGTGCTTGTAGTAGTGGAGCAGGAGACCAATAGGGACAATATTTTGCGAGGAGAGCGAGAGAGCGATACCAGGAGGTCTTGAAAGTCAACGGCATGGAAAGGGTCCGCGGAAAATGGGGGGAAAAACTGCTGCTGTCCAGAAACGGCATTACACAATACATGTGACACGCTCTTGACAGACTTGAACAATTTTGAAGGAACGATATTGCAGAAGCAACTTTGCAGGCAAAAAGGTTGAAGTTGGTTGTACTCATATGCCCTATTGATATCAGATTCACTCGAGAGATCGAGCTGCATTATACCTGACCTGTGATAGGTACTGGTACAGTCAGGATATGTCCAATTACTTCATTGATAGATCTCTTACGAGGATTCTCGTCGTTGTTGCATGGCAGCTACACATGCAAATACTACTCTTTGTCATAGCGCGTGGCTGCATGTGAAGTTGCATTGTAGATCCGCTCGCAAAGTAGTAGATTCGTCCGCAATCTGGTAACGATGAGGCCTAAAAGCTTTTGATGGACTGAGTTATCATGATCCGATAAATGATCCCAAACCATCGTGTACTCTGCCGTTGTGGTATCAACATTTTCGTAACACGCTGTCCCATCAACAAGAAAGCTCCGACTCCAGTACTAACGTTGGTGAAACTCTACGTAATCTGTCGGACACAACCCGATTTGCTCGGTGAAAGCAACAGTCACCGGATCACTTTCTCTCCTGCACTACATACGTCCAAAGCATGGTGTCGAGTCACGATACAGAAGTGGATGGAATCACTGCATTCTCGACATCGCCTGCGACGTCTTATCGCTACATCCTCCGACTCAAAGACGACAAATTGAGTATTTGGATGGAAGATCGAACCAGCAAAAAGCAATGGTATGTAATGAGTGCGAGGTCATCTTCGTCATCGTGACTTTTGATTGTTGTGGTGTTACTAGGAGCAAGAGCGGGGTGACCAAAGAAGACTACGTGACATCGGCCAATGCAATTTCAGATGCATCGGCGATCGATTACTTGAAGGTGTGCTTTTGTTGTGTTTGGTATCATGGCAGGTGTCGTGTATCTCACGTTATGAATTGTAGCTGTTCCAAGACGCACTAGATGGTGAACCGGATGAATCGAGCGATGCCCAGTGCACGTTGGAAATGCTGAGTGGGGATGCTTGTCAACTGGTGGTTAGCGTCAAGTTTCGCATCCTACGCTCAGTGAGAGTGGTGAAGTATACGTTTGTCCTGGAGCCTGTCTCTGTTGAGCGAATCGATGTGTTGGAATCCAAAATGCGCGACCAGCAGGAGGAATTGAAGCGACTGCAGAAACAATCTATTACGCATGTACACCTCGAAGCTTCAACAAAAAACGGCACAACTAGTAAGCTGCAGTGGAGCGATCCCGATTCGGACGACTTTTTTGTGGACCAAGAAACTGGCGAGATCTCGATTCGTCAACCTGGAGCTTACAGCATTACAGTTGTTGTGAAGACTGGCTCAAATCAAGGCATCTCTATTCGGAAGAACGAAGAGTGCATCTATTCGGGCTCGAATTCTGGCTACCATAATTCCTTGACTGCTAGCACCATTGCCCGGTTTAATGCGAACGACAGACTGGCTGTTACAGTCAACACTTTCACTGGCACTTCTCACCTTTTAATCCAGCAAATTGGGCGCAAAACTACGCTTAGTTAAACAAAGAAACACTGCCACTCTGCTCGATTGCAGCACATGACTACCAGGACATGATCCATTGATTGCATATTGTCAAGATTGGGCCAACTCGGTAGCATGCACAAGCACACGCCCTAATCAATTTGACTTTATAGTCGAACGCATTAACACGAAGTCATGAGTCATCGCCTTTGTCATGTCGGTTGTTCTTCCAATAATCATCTTTGCGCCGGGAACATTGGTGTAGATGCCACTTGCATGTACGACTTGTTGCAAGACACACGAAACGTGATTTGCAGCGTTTGACGAACTCAAACATCAGGTTACTTATCACAGCTTTCAGCCTATCAGCCGAGAGTTGCATGAGCATCGCAACACCAGGCTAAAGGTGTGTCAACATGAGGTTGGTTTTATTTAATCTCATGTTGACACACCTTTAATTCACGTGCGTTGCCCGTGACATCGCTACTGCATCAAGGTAAAGCAGACATCCAAAGGTGCGTCAAGTGTTTAGTTGCCTGCAGCCATAAACACTTGGTCAAACTATCCGTTCCACCATCGCACGAACGGCCGCGACTTCTTCCTTGACTACGATTAATCCTCCACTGCACCCGTTTTTCTTTACGCTGTCAATGCAACCACTCCAAGCATAGCTAAGTCCATGTAAGTCTATTGCTTTTATTGTCAGAGTTACATACAGCTCAAGTCTCTGGCATCACCATACCAACAAGGCCCTTGCTTGTTCCTCCTTGCCGACGCTTCTTGTTGTTTCACCAATGGTCATGCATCCGGCCACCCTCGTGGAAAACCAAAGAATCTACGGATTGAAGAAGCACGTGACCGATCTGGAATACCTCCAAACCAGTTCCTCACTGCCAAGCCAACCCAACAAACTCCTATCCGACAACAGACGTATCCTTCGATAGCGACATATTAATGACTCTACTTGCCGAGCATCCGGAGCACATTCTTGCGGATCTGGCCCTGTACAAAGACCGACTTGCCCAGTCGACGAATGCGCTCGCGCGTCTTTTTCGTCGCAATGTGGCGCTTATTGGCCTGCGCGCGCTTGACGAGGCCATTGCAGTTGACTTTGAAGCGCTTTTTGACAGCAGCTTTCGTCTTGAGCTTGTAACCCATCGTCCGAACGAACTGCAGCTGATGGGGAAGAGGGAAGAAAATGGACGCGCGCGTGGGCAGCCGAGACGAAACGAGCGGGGCGGGGGACGAGGCGGCAGCAAAGCGTAAAGAGTTGACAGAAATGGCGGGTGCAGCTACATGGAGCGATCGGAACGGACGAGCGAGGGATCTGGATACATTGATCAAGATCAAGTGCATTAGAGAGAGAAGGTGAGGGAGAGAGAGAGAGAGAGGCTAGGGGGGACCACGTACCGAAAGAGCGCCATGACGAAAATGAGTGGTGACTCATGCTGCACGATGATTGGATAGTAGAGTCAGGACGGTCTATACTAGATTCGTGGAGAAGGTGGGTCTTTATTCGTTTAAACACTCTAATCCCGTTTAAAAACACTTTTCGATCCCATCCGATCGAGAACTGCAGCAGCAGGTCTGTTTATTCCCCATACGAACTTTTCGTCTGTAACTCGAGGTCGTCACTGTTTTTATCGAGTCGTTCTTCGTCTCCTCCTTCGTCATTTGCTCATTGTCATCAAGAAAAACCAGAGGAAGCGAAACGCAGCGAACAAGCGCCTGTCACACGAGGGAGGGCGAGCGAATCCGTCGACTGCCACCCCTAACCAACCATCCATGGACATTGGCGCGCACTGCTCGATCTCTTCCTGCCACCAGCAGGACTTTCTGCCGTTCACGTGCGACTGCTGCCGCCGCGTCTTTTGCCTCGACCACCGCAGCTACGACGCCCACCAGTGTCCAAGCGCTGGCAGCCACGACCGCCGCGTCGTGCAGTGCCCCGTCTGCTCGCAATTGATCCACTGGACGGCAGAGCAAGATGTGAATATGGTGTGGGACACGCACGTGCGAAAGGGGCAATGCGCTCGCCAGGAGCTCCAACACGAGCAAGCAAAAAAGGCACGAGGTGCAACATAAGAAGAAGAAGAAGAAACGCTGTGCCGCTCCCGACTGTCGGGAAGTGCTGCTCGCGTCCAACCAGTTTTCGTGTCGAAAGTGCAGCCAAGACGTGTGTCTACGGCACCGATTCGAGTCCGATCATGCCTGTGCGAGTGCAAGACAAGCGTCACGACGGCAGTGGCTCGGGCGGTTCGAGACGTCCGAGGCGAGTCTTGCTACAAGGACGAAGAGAACGTTACCGTCTCAGTTGCCTCGGAGTGCACCGCAAATAGCTGCTTTAGTTGTCGAGAGCACCAAGCAGGCAGTTTCGTCGCTTGTGCAGAACGTCAAGACTGCAGCCAGTACTACTGCCGTGACGACGACGTCTGAAGTCTGTCCCATCTGTCGGCAGCAGTTTCACGACGTGAGCCAGCTCATTGCACACGTAGATCGAGCCCACAGTGACTGGACTGGCCAGACAAGAGCGTCTTCTGCAGCTCCTCCTGAGTCAGCTGTGTCTACTGGAACACCTTTGGTTGAAAGAGAAGTGTGTCCGCAATGCCGAGCTGACTTTCCGACTGTGGCTGCACTTATCCAGCATGCTGAGACCACGCACTCGAGTGCTGTAGCTGCCACTGGACGTGGCCACGATCAGGAAAAGTGCAACGTGATGTAGATGGAACTTTGAGAATTAATGGAGCAGACACCATTTTGCCCGCCTCGTTCAGCGACGTGATAACTCTTACAGATACGAAATGCAATGTATTAACATGGTTCACAGCACACAACTACAAATTGCAGTATAACAGCAGCGTATTGTGAGTCCATACACCATACGACTTCCATACGTCGCATACAACGTATGAGGCGGTGCACAGTGTGTGAATACAGCATGCCGTTTATGAGCATAGCATGAAGAGTCCGGATACGGCGTACCACGTATGACATCAGTGAACAGTTTACGAGCATGCCATGAGTGAGTGAATACTGCTTACAGAGTTTGACTTCCGCGTACAATGTGTTATGCACGCTTACGGTGTGTGATTCACGTATACGGTGTGTGATTTACACTTACGGCGTGCAATACACGCTTACAGAGTAGGTATACCAAAAATAAACACGAGTGAGCACCTAGCCCGACGTACGAATACCGCGACAGTATGTATTACGATATATTCTCCCGTCCCGATAGCTACCGGAAAAAAAGCGGGTCCACCTGTGCGTCGCGCGTCTTCTCGCCACTTTTATCCAGACTTGAACAGCAGAACTGCCACTTGACCCAGGTAAAAGTAGATGAAGTGCTTTGTCTCGTGCGTCACGTATGACCCAAAGTTGCGCCCAACAATGCAGTGCCACGTCGGGTTGTACTTCTTGTCAAACTCCTTCTTGATGAAAGCGGCAATGTCTTTTTCAATATTGTACTTCTCCAGCGCTTGACTAGCACAATCCACAGCATCTTGTTGCATATCCTCGTGCATGTCTGCGTTCTTGATCACGGCCTTGCGCTCCGCCATGGCTGCTGGTCTCTGGGCGTCCGACTCGAGCGCACGTCGAGCACTTTTTCACTCTGTGAGCAAAGAAAGTCGTTTTTTAATTGTGTCTCGTGGCGGACGATTTGAGTTTTGCCCAATCTTTTCGTTTGGGTTTTGAAAAACGACTCAAATTTAGAGCACTCAGTTGTGCAGAACTAGTGCTAAATGACGATCACGTGCCAGAGTTTGAAACTGGGGCGCCCACGAGCACCCACGTCTACGGTTTTTTATGATCATCGGTGCGACCGACATTTGATGGGTGGGCGCAACATCGTAATCGTTATTTTAGCTCGTACCATAATTTAGTAAAACTTAATTTACAACGGTGTATGAGGCTTCTTTGTCCAATATGAATCTGGTGACCAACTAGGCAAAAGACTGTGGGTGGGCGTGGGTGGGCGTGGGTGGGCAGAGCTCACCCACGTGTGATGCAAAGGCATTCGTGCATCTTGACATCGTACGCCAGAGTCCAAAGTATCAAGTGAGCGAGATCGCAGGGACCGATCGACGAGGTAGTTGGTTTGGAAACGCTAGGCAACAGCGCCCGTGCAGCAGCTGTAGCAACTTTCATTGTAGATTCCAATTGTCTGCAAGCTCAGTCGCTACTGAAACCTGCCACAACTGCCCCTTACCCTGATCGTTTCCAAGATGAGGTGTCACAATACCGGATCACCTGCACGTAAAACACTGTAACCTGTCGACGTTGTCCACGAACACTACAACTCTTTAAGTTATCGAGAACATTGGGGTCGCATGAGAAAATCGGCCTGTGACCTGAGCGTGAAAAGAAAAATCTATCGTTGAGCTGTAAAATCGCATCAGAAAAACACAAAAGCGCTTCAACCCAAGCAAAGGCGAATTTCGAAGTTTCAGCGCATTGCCAAAGAGAAAACTGCATGCACAGCGTGTTCTTGAATGTTCAATATTCCAGATTGCGGATTCAGAGCGATGATAGTATGATGTCGTTAGTTTTCATGCGTGTTGGAGTACCAACCACAAACTCGTCCTCCTTGATGATGACATTTGGCGACCACATTCACTTAGAAATTGAGGCTGACACATCTGCTCATATCATAATCATCGGGTGACCAAGCGGATCTAAGTGTGGGGAGTATAAGGATCTGAGCACACTGTATTGTATACGAACAAATACGCGTACAAGGCGATTCCTGCCGCTGCCGTGACCATGTTGGCCGTTAATAACGATGATAAAAACTGTGGACAGTCGCCGTACTGATTCCACAAAAGATCTCACTGAGCAGTTCCAAATACTCGACTACCAATTCCGTATAGAAAATGGGAACATGGAGCAGCTGCTGGGCGAGGATAGTTACAATAAAGCGGGCACTATATTGATACATAGTGTCTGTTTGATTGGATATGCATGACCTCCGGATCCATAGGAAGACGAAGAAATCCAGGCACAACTAAGGAAACAAAGTGGATTATAAAATGGATTGGAATCAATTGCACTGGAAAGAGTTCGACGTAGAAAACACTACGACCTGCACATTCGGTGCGGCACGGTCGACGTATCAGTATTAATTGACAGACATGGATTGATACAAAAAAAAGAAGGAGTAAGGCAAGGAAACAGTGGGTCACGAGGGTTGCCAGCAATGGTCAACCCAACACGGAACGATGCACTTTGCTGAAAGATTAGTTGTGGTCTCTAATACAACGTCAGAGATTTCTAGATTGTCAACAAAAATCGGGAATGCTCGGTGAGGGAGCCAAGCATCAGCAAATTGTACTTCTGCACAACCGAAGGTCACCCTAAGTATCTTTGCAAACATTGAGAACAGTGAGAGTACCACGTCAAACGGGCCTGAATCGAATGACTTGGTTCCCAACGCAAGTTATGCAAGTATGCCTATCCAACAGTGAGCTAGTGGACATGAGCGTTAGGATTTTATTCATGAGCATGTTGGCATCTATTGTGAGTACCATCCATACATAAAAGAGTTTGCAATCAGCACGGCATTATTTAAACGATAAGCTGCCAGTGTGGTGCCAACTCTAAATGGCAAATCTACTGCTTGCAAAGAGTAACACAATTCGTAGATTGAATTTCATGAAAGTGTGTCTCTCACGCAAGCCAAGCCAAGCATTTTACATGTCACTAATGATGTTGTACCTCGACATACCATACACACGGCATCCACGATGCAGTCTTGCATTCTCTCATGTGCACAATGGGGGATGGTTTGAGCATTTCATATGATTTCAGTCAATAGATCCAAGCTTAGAATCGCTAGCAATACTTAAGTGGCAAGAACGGGATGAGTCCAACTTGGTGGGGGAATGTTATCCCGGTGTCGGTAGCGTGATCCAGCACATGACTATCTTCTGAGTAATTACATACGAGCCGAGTACTTTGCGACGTTGCTGGAAACAGCCCGTCGAACGACTGTGGTAGCGAGACCTAAGATAATTACGCTTCTGCATAACGATAAAAAGTCAATCGAATTATGATCGCGCTATTGAGCCGCTACAACATCTAAGGACCGAGTGTGCGAAGAAGCGGGCTTGGGCTGCGCCCACACATGTATCAGCTCGCTTTTAAGCAAGCAAACGTTGTGAGCTTTCGTGATGAACAATGGCCTGCAAATGTCGAATCGTGTAAACGGGAGGTCGTAAAAGATACGTTCATGCCACAAGAAGTAGTCGGCTGTGACATCAAGTACTAGCCAAACTCAGCACAAAAAAAGAAAATCGTCCCATTTTTTTACAGCACGTAGCGTCCGCTCGACATAATGTTGTCAGTAGTACTCGCATTCGATAAAATTGCTCCTATCGATATAATTGCGTATGCATAGTTGCTTGACTTCGGATCTGGATACCTGGCTCATCACGTGGTTATGTTTTCGCTGCACAAATTTGACCTAGCTCCTTCATAACTCGCTGGCCTACATGCCGTCGGAGGTCATTTTGTACAACTCTTCAGAATTCGTTTTGCATTGGAGATGGCGGCAACATGTCAGCTCACATTCTACTTGATGAACGATAGCACTTGTGTTGATGTCAGGAATGATGATCCGTACCGACGGTACACTCGTCGATGGATGAAGCCGCGTATAGTTAATCTGGGGACATTGATTGAGTTTAAGATTGATGGTACGGGGATGAAAGAGAAGCATGCTCGTGTCACCAATCAGGCTCAAGAGCGTTTATGATGACAAAAGAGTTACATCAGAAGTAGATAGCAGCTTTTGTTGTTGTTATGGCCTCATCAGTCATTTGTTTTGCTGCTTCGAGCATACCTGCTCCTACAGCTTCCCCATCTTCTCATTTTTGTACCTGAATTTCATGGCAGGCCTCTTCTGCACCGTAATGCCAAAAAATGTTTTGCGTTGGAGATGGTGACGCGTTGGACGTAAGAAGTTTCTGTAAACGCGTTCTACGCTGTTCACATAACATGTCGCAATAGTGCTTTGCATGGTATCTTCCACTTCATCGTTACAGCTCATAATTTGTCGTTCGGGTACTCTTAAGTACAACAGTGATTTCAATTTTGGTGGTTGGTATTTCTATACAATTTAGATTACAGTGAAGGAGATCGGGCCATTCAGTCGGCGAGTGGGTATGAGGTGCGTAGTGTGATATTGTCATCAGACGTTGTAGCAACAGCTTTCTTTACTCGCTTGAAGTGAGGCTCACAATGACATCTTTTCCATCGTTCGATCCTTTACGACAAGCAAGCACACCTCTTTTTCATGTAAGATGTGTCATAGTTGACCCAACCTTGTACCTTTGTAAGGTGCCCTTCTAGCTACGTTCGTTACATGAGGTTCAATCTGATGCAATGTACGTATACAATGTCAATAATGCCATTGGCGCGATAAACATTTTGCTTTATAACGTAATTGATCAACGGCCCCATACAAAGTCGATTGTCGATGTTCTGGCAAATTATGTGGAATCACCAAGGGCAATTCACGTTAGCCAAAATTGCTAGCATTATTGTTGGACGGCCAATCTTGGGTATTGGTCACTTTGAACGACATTAAGCTATGCAGGGCTCGTACTATTGGAATCACTGTATTGACCTCCTTCATACCTAACCTCGGCGCGTAAAAAGTATCTCTCATTGTCATGGCTAAACATATCAGCTGGAAGTTTTATCTGCAAGAACGTACCGTAG